TGGGGAATTCTGGGAATTGAAGTCCACACATCTTAAAGTTCCCAAGGTTGAGAAACACTGAGCTATACACAGTTAAGAGGTAGCAGGTGAATCAGTTGACAGCTTATCTCATAAATGGCAGCTTAGCCCAGGTGGAGAAAAATCTGGGAAGAAGTGTTTTAAATCATTCAAAGAAACTTCATTTTATAAATGAGGCTGGGAAATTTGTCTTAAAATTTCCAAGATTCAGGAAGATTTACCCCAGCCTAGATGTGCCAGGAAAAAGCAGGGGGGGGGGGGTTACTATAACACAACACAGACATACAAATCAAGAACCTAGTGTAAATTCCTGCCTAGAATGCTTTTACCTATTTCTATACCAGTTTTGTCCTTATTGGGACTCCTCAGAGGCTGGTAGCCAGAAGTTATTCTATGGGGTTCAAACCCTCTACCAGGAATTGAATTAGTGCTCAGTATTTGCAGGAAGGGATATTTAGAAGTGCTATCAAAATGGTATATACAGTCCACCTTCCCATAAGCTCCCAGAGAAGAGAGAGAGAAGTCTTCCATTATATGATACCCCCATGCATGAGGTTTTACATAACTTCTAGACCCCCCACTCTGTCTTCGGCTGAGGCATCTGACTTTCTGCATACAGGTAGTCTCCAGGTAAAGAACGCCCAGGTTACAGATGACCCATAGTTAAGAGTGGAGCCTATTGTAGCAAAATTCAAGTTAAATACACAATGATTCAAATTAATTACATAATACTACTTATATAGTATTATACAGTAATACTGTTCTGGCTAAGTATAAATTCGACTTAAGGACACACCTTGGGAATGGAACTTGTCCTTAAACTGGGGATTACCTGTACTGTACAGTATGTACAAAGAGCATCTCACCCTTATGGGAATATTTATTGGGAATGTCTGAAATGGATAAAGCAGGCTACAGTATTCACAGCTTCTGTCTTGGAAGTGTTGTTCTTAAGCTGAATATAATTTAATGTTTCAATTTCAAAAGCATGCATCTTAGTTCAACCTATTCTAGCATGAATGAATTATTTTACAGATCTTTATGTTCTATGTTTACATCATTAATTTTCCCCCTAATTTTTAAAAGCCATTTTTCTCAATCTTTTGGTTAAAACATAAAGCCTGCAGGCTGCATGCGGACTGCCAAGAAGCCTTGTGCAGCCCGCAAGTGTTTCTTAAAAACTCAATAAATCTACTGCCCCCAAATGTTGCCGCCGCTACCCCAGAAGATACACTGCTGAGCACCTCCAGTGCATCCAGGGTTCATCAATACTGCCAGCTCCATCACCACCACCAAGCCAGTAGCTGTGAAACAGCTGATTGGCATGCCAGTTATTCTTTGTGGCCCCCAATTATTTTGAATTTGTCAGTGTGGCCCTATTCTCTCTACAACTTTTGAAGGCCTGGGTTAGATCATAATAATGAATGGGGATTGATTAATTAATATGTTGATACGTAAAATGATTTTTTATTTAAAAGATTCTTGGGTCACCTACTTAAAATGTAATTCTAATAGTCCTAATTACTTTTTTTTTTTTTTTTGGTCCACCAGCCTCATGAATTTGATGAATGCAGATTTGATATTAGTGTAAATGATAGTGTTTGGTATCTGCGGGCTCAGGATCCAGATCATAGGCAGCAATGGATAGATGCAATTGAACAGCACAAGGTATGGATTGTTTTTCTTTCCAATTAATAGTTTATGGTAATGAATTAACCATCCCCTGAGTAATACCCTCTATATCTGCTGAATCTATAACTTGCAGAATTCTAACCCATGTGGCTGATTCTGGGAACTGTAGTTCCAGTGGGTATAGAAGGTAATAAGTCAAAGAAGGCTGCTCCAAAGTTTGCTTAACAGCTTGAGTGATTCAATATGAATAAAAGCTAATACTATAATATTCAACCACCAGAAACTGTATAAATATTATAACATGGTTTTGGAATGAGTAATACAGATATATAAAGTTTGTATATAAAATGTTGCCACTGAGAGATATTGAAGAAATATTAATGAAATAATGGGAGGCTGTGGGAATTACAGTGTGGTAATATGGAAAACACACAAGAGCTATTATCTCTAGCAAGTGGAATTTAAACTGTTGTCTGCACTGATTGTAAAGTTCAAAAGTATGTTGAGATAGGACGTGATACTTGGATACAATATAGTTTGCAAGGCTTATAAAGACAATCACTTTAAGTGCTGCTTATTTGATCCTGCAGATAAAAATCCAACATTGGATGCACATTTTTCTCTTAAAACTGAACTGTGATTTGGTAAAAACTTTTTTTCCTCTAGTGTGATGACTAAGGGTAAAGAAATGTTTACAATCAGCTTTAAGATTAATTGTTCTAATCTTCTGACTTGGGTTTGAATAACTGTCTTGTACTAGTATGATGGTGTGAATGACCAGGAGCAATTTTTTCAAATGCTGCTACGAAGTTACAGATGGAAAAAACTCCTTTTCCATTAAGCAGCTTCCTGTTATTTCTACAAGAAAATTCCTAGATTGCTTTTATTTGAGATCTTATAAGATGCCTTGTCTTCCTCAGCATTACTCAAATCTTTGTAAAACAGAATACAAATAATCTTAAAGTGAATAAAACTAAAGCCAGCAAAATCAATAATGTTCAAATAAATATTTAATAAGATACATTCTAGCCAGTTATAAAATTAGTAGATACATATTCTATGAAATATTCCATAGATTCAAGTGCTCCTAATTCTTGGCAAATGACATAATAGACGGGAAAAATAAATTGTCAAGAAGTGCGAGATTTAATTAGAACTTCACATGCTTCAGCTAGTTAAAGTTAGCCTCTTTCTTCAGGGATAAACTGATTGATATACAGTCATGTGCACACATTCTTCTTAGGTCTCATGGTTACAGCAAGAGTTAAAAAGCTCTGGATCTAAGAAGCTAATATATTCAGATTGTTCCACAAGAAGGAATGTGATTTTCTGAAATGCATTGAATTCCAATAAGATTTTGGAACTTCCTGATAATGTATTTCTCCTTTGTTTTTATACAGCTATCAAATATGATTTTTCCAGATATTTATGAATGAGTATCTTTAAGCCAAAAAAAAAAAAAAAACCCATCCCAGGGCAGCTTACAAAATATACAGTTATTTGCATTGAAGCATCAGAGTTCAATTTCACAATCATACCAAAATGAAATAGTAACAACTATATGTGAAATTAAAACAAAAATAGAACTCAGCTGAGATCACAAGTTAACAGTCCAAATAAAATTCTTTAAAAGATAACAGGTGAAGGTAAAGTCATTCTCAGAGTCTAGTGACTTCATGGACATTTCCATGAAGTTTTCTTGGGAGAAATATGGGAGTGGTTTGCCATTGTCTTGCCTTCCCAGTATAGCCTATAGCCCAGAGATTTCTAAGTATTTATCCTGCTTGACTTATTTTGGATCTGTCAAGGTCAGCTAAATGCCGCCACAGGTTGTGACAAAATATTGAAAAGACAGAAGATTTTACTCCATACTTAAAAGCCTATAATGCTCTTTCAAGTAAGCCAAGTTTCACTTTGGAGACCACAACTGAAAAAGATTCTGTGTCTTATGGCTTTCACAGAGGTGCACAAAATAAACACTGAAAAGAATACTTCTATACCTGAGCAGGCTAATGCTGAGTAAAGCTGCCCAAAATATTAAGACTTAATATCAGGCCGGGAAATGGTATAACAACAGTATCTGGACAGCTATAGTTTGGAACATTTGGAATTTTTGAACCATAATTAAAAGCTTCATAAAGAATGCATTAGACTAGCCCAACCTAGATAGCAAGGTTCATACTCTCCAGATAAAGTCTTGCTAAACTATCCTAATTGCTGTTATCTGAGGTTTCTCTGTTAGTGCAAAGTGAAGTGAACCTGGCCTTGAAAACAGACTGCGAATCTTAAGACCAGCTGCAAAACATCTTCCTAAAAGAGGATTTTCTCCTTTTTTAAAGATATCCTTTTCTCTTTTATTTTTCTCCCCAAAGAATTGAGGGGGAAAATAGATTATGAAGTGCTTTATGTTAGTGATAAATATTCATATCACTACACAGAACACTTTTCCATGCAGAATCATTGCTTCCTATGCTTTAATATACCAGGTTTTACATGTTTTATTTTCTTGAAATAACAAAATGACTTCCAATTTGTAAAGGATGCTTTAAAAATTATATCATCTTTTCCAAAGTTTGTTTCTTTTCTGAGGGAAAAAACCCAGCAGTTTCCTCGTTAGAATATCTAGGAGTTTTACTATATTATTCCAGCACACTCAGTTTCTCTAGTACTTCTGTACAGACTCACTGTATGATTTTATAGAAAAGTGGAGACGACCTGAAATGGTATGTCAAAATGTGGCTTGTCTACCTATAAATGAATATAGAGGACATAATATTGTCCTGTTTCACGCTGAACTTTTTAGTGCTCTGTCTGCCAAGACCAGTTTCTAAATTATAAAAAATATTTTAGATTAGGGAATTCAAAATGCATGCAGTTATCTAACTCTTATTTATATAATACTGTACATGTTTTATTATCACTGGCATTTTTATTTAAAAGATAGCAGATCAAAAGCTCAAAATAAAAGAGTTTTCCATGTCAACATGCAGCTTGAGCAGGTTTGCTATTATATGAAGGCAGAGGTATTAAAATTGTCTGTTTTAATGGCATATGGTTTTATATCATTAAGTGCTAGAACTTGAATGGTAATTGTAAAGGCATGCTGAAAGTATATTCTTATAATTCTGGAGCTGCATTACAAGATAGCAGGTTGCATGGATAGTGTATACTCCTATTTAGGTAGCCAACAGACTGACCTGTTGGTAGGAATCTTTTTGAACCTTTTTAATAAAACACTTCTGCTGGATTAAACAGAGGGCAAGATTTCTTCTCACACCATGCATAGTCAGCACAAGATCATCTATATCATGTGTAACTGATTAGCTAATGGATACATTTTACTGGTAGGTAATTATTTCTCACCTCTTCTTTAACTATTCCCCTCTTTCTTGTTTCTCTGCCTCCCACCCTCTTAGTAGGAGCAGGGAGCCCATAAAATGCATTAGGATTGGCTTACCACGCTGTAAAGTAAGATACGTTGCTATCTGAAGAGTGCTCTCCCCCACCAAAAGACCATTTGGGCCACAATCCAACATTGTCTAGTCCCTCTGCTGTGTTTGGCACTCAGAGGGGGATAGTGGTCCATTATATTGCTTCACTTCTTGTGTTTGACTTGTACTGAACAAGGTTGCTTTGTAAGAAGCACAATAGCATAGGAAAACATGAGCTGAACCGTCTTTTTTTCCCCTGAGATTCTGATCATTATGTCTTACATGGATCAAACTGAATGTTAATACTAATGTATTCTTTGAATACAAAGCAGCAGCAAGTCTAGAGGCATATCATCCTATTGCCCCTTTAGTTGCCCCCTTGGATGGCTATTTCTAGCACTACATTGTGTGCGGGGGGTGGGAATGCAATGAAATGAGGAAGGAGTGCAATCCCCCCTTTTCTGCGGCCTCTGAAATTGCTGCTTGGTGGCTTTTTTCCTTTTTAGGATGTTAGGTAATGTTATGTGCATTAGCTTGTAACTAAGGCTAGCCCTTAAGGGTGCAGGCAAGGCTTTTGTGAAACTTTATGATAATAAGTGGCCATTAGATCTTTATTGTCAGTGGGTTTCTTCCTAATAATTTTGTTGTCTTTGAGTGCCTTCAGCCATGAATTTGGGGAGCTGCAGTCCCAGAACACGCAAAGGACACCAGGTTAGGGGAAGGCAATGCTCTGCTTCTCTGTCTTACTATACATAAGATTATTAAGCAGTGTTTAGGTTTTGTATTGCTGGTTTGTTGATGGAGTTGGGGTTTGTCCAAGCCTTCACATAGGCTTTATGTGTAATTCTACTCTATCTTTAAAGGTAAAATCTTATCCTGTCTGTGTTACAGCTTGGATAATTTTATTTTTAAAAACATGGAACAGTGCAGGATTTGCTGCTGAAGTCAGAACATTTGTAAACCACCAATCATTTAAAATTAGGCAGTCATGAAAACATTTAAATGTAGACTAACTGGAATGTAATGGAAGCAGGATAAAGGTTACTGCTGGACTTTGACCAATAGTAACCTCAAGAAACAGCTTCATATTCTTTTTATTGACGCCATCTAGTGGCCACTATTGTTACAAATAATTGCAAACTTTATTTTTTCCTAAAGATTTCTAACTCTGTGTTTGGATTTAGTTCTGTATCATAAATAGAATAAGTAGAATTATATTGCTTGCAACAAACATATAAATGCTAAATACACAATTCACTTTATATGAATGTGACCTGGGCAAACCTAGCTGATCAGCCATTTTTTTTCTCCCTCTCTTATGGCTTTTAATCATCTTGCATGATGAACAGTACTTGAAAGCTTGCAATACTTCTGTAATATTTCATTGTTTTAATAAAAGCATTACCTCTTTGGATTCTGCTTTCTTTCTCTCACTCATGACCAACCAGTTACTATTGTTTTTTCTAGGAGGTAAAGAGAATCAAACAGGAAAAGTACCAACAAATGGCAACATGTTTATCAATACCGTAGTCTTGGGACAGACACTTTTATATTTTGCATTTAAAGTTATTAGTCATCTTTGTGAAATTATTGTGAGGACAAATCAGGAAGAGGAAATTGGTTGGAAATGGCTGGCATAGTTTGGA